TTTTACAAGAAATGTTCACATTTATTGCAATTATTACAATACGATAAATAGGCATACAAGCAACCAAACATTATGTTTATATTTTAGTACAAAAATCACTATCATATACCGTTTAAATATCTTTCATTCATTCTATAGAGCAGTGAAAACAGCAAAACTTTCATTATAGTTGTAACCTAGCGCGTATGAAGACGGACCCAGAAGGGGTGTGATTGCGGCGTTGCCGGTTCGAACGTCGCGGCCTTGTATTAGAGGTGGCTGTGGTTCGTGCCGTCGACTGCCTCCGGCGGTCTTGGCCAATCCCCACTACCACTACGTCAGCGCCCCGAGGTCGCGGCGGCCAAGTCACGATCTAGGAGACTTGACTTGCAGTGGAATGGACATGTTTGACATTGTTGTCGAGCAGTCGAGCGCGCTCGAGCCTTCGCGGCCTTAAAATAATGAAAATGAACCCCCTAATGAAATTTGCCCATTACACACTGTATTTTGTCTTCAAAAACACCGAAATTTGTTCGGCCGACTTGGAGACATCGCTGGAGACAGTCGGCAGACAATGTTTCCGCAGTGTGTGACAAATCGCCATGTGTGTACGGTACGGGGCTCTAGCAGCATTGACAAGTTTTGTCTCTCGACAAGGGTTGTGTAGCGACATCTACTCGGACTACGCAGCAAATTATGTAGGTGCCACTAATGAATTTAAAAAGATTTTAAAGAAATTCTTTATTCAGAAAGAAACTCAAGAAGCTCTTAGTAAGTTTTCCATGAAAAAAAAACATTAAATGTCATTTCTTACCTCCTTGCTGCTCCGCACTAAGGTGGCCTTTGGGAGAGAACTTTCCGTAGTGTCAAACACCATCTTCAGAGAGTCATAGGTGAATAGATCCACTCTTGCAGAGTTCATCACATTAACCCCACTATCATCTGACCCCAGCGAAATTGATTGCTTAGCTCCGAGTCATTTTCTGATTGGAGGACCACCTCTATCTCTTCCCGAACCTGACTAGAAATATGTCTCAACAAACCGATTGTCAAGGTGGAAGTTCGTTCAAGCCTTAAACCAAAGGTTTTAGGAAAAGATGGCAACAAGAATACCTCTACACGTTGCAACAACAAGGGAAATGGAGAATTCCTCAACGTAACATCAAAACTGGAGATCTTGTCCTATAGCATGAACCAAACCAACCTCCCCTTTCATGGCGAATGGGACTTGTCATTTCAACCTCCCCAGAGCAAGATGGTCTTGTACGAGTTGTACAATTATTGAAAACTTCAACAGGAACACTCTCCAGACAAATAACTAAAGTCTCAACGATCCCAATCAATTATGAATAATGAAAAAAGTTAGACTGTTAACCATCCGTTTATTGTAAATATGTTCATTTCTAAAATACATGTTTTTCTCAATACTTGATGATAAGGTGAACCCCTCTTAGTATTTATTTCGGTAAAAAATACTGATTTTGCTCAATACTTAATTTACACACTGTATTCTGAAACCATAATTTATTTTTATCTTTGTTAGAAAGAATGCTCAGTCAAAATTTGGCACCTACAAATTTACAAACAATTGTAAAAAGTTGAAAATATATCAAAAAGTCCGCCTGTTGTTTGTTGCCTAAAAGATGTTTTTGAAAAACAGGAAGACTAAAAGAAGCCTGCTGATACTGCAAATTTGTCTACTGCATTTATTATAGAAACAATAAAATTAAAATAATAATGAAAATTATAAAACTAAATTGATATGTATAATTCAACCGGACACAGATCTGGAATGTGATATTACAAAATACATTTACAGAATTTCTTTATAAAATATTTTTACTACTGATGATTATGACAAATTCTACCTCTTCTCAAATGTGGTGTAAATTATGACATATTTAGTCGAATAATATGACGTTTTTATAATAACTTTCAAATGGTGAGGAAATCGACCAAAGTGGAAGGTATTATTCCGAAAGAGAATAAAACTTCCTACAATCTACTATTACGCATATCTTGAAAATACTCAATAAATGTAGCCTAAATTTGGCTTAAAATAAAAAAGTGTGAAATTTAATGTTTGCTATGTTTATTGTCTACATTGAAGACGGGGATTTTCATTTTTTTCATTTTGAGGCAATTTTTGGTACCTTTCTTGAGTATTTTCAAAAAATGCATATTAGTGGATTGTAGGAAATTGTATTCTCTTTCGTAAGGTATTTTTTAATACCTTCCACTTTGGTCGATTTCCTCACCATTTAAAAGTTATTTGGAAAAACTTCAAGTAACCTCCAAATTTCTAGTGGTAAAAAAGTTGGAGATTACTTTTTAACTTTGTACAATTAAAGCTACAGTTCTGTTGGATCGATTTTGTTAAATGATGTGTCTTTGGAAGGCGTAAACTCTTTGAGTTGCTTTTTCGTTTGATGTGTATTTTATAGCGATAAGTTTTATATTTTAAAAGTTATAGAGCGTTAAAACTGGGTCATTCATTTTGAATAACCCTGTATAATTCAGAAAAATCTTTGTACAGCTAAATCTGGAGTTCTACTGGACCGATTTTATTAATTAATGAGTCGTTGGAAAGCTTAGGTCGTATAGATTTGCAAATAATTATGAAAGTTTGTTTTTGTTATGGTTTATAGGGAAAATTAAAAAAACATGTTTTCCATAAGAAATACATTGAAAACTGTGTTTTTCACACTTTTTATTTGGGTGCGACTTTTAGCTGCCATTTTTTTTATATTTACAAGAAGTGCATGGTATCAATTTGTAGGAAATTTTATTCTCTTTTAGAATATCACCTTCCATATGGTCGATTTCCTCACCATTTAAAAGTTATTCGCAAAAAAGTTAAGCAACCTACGAATTTATAGTAATGAGAAAATATTGAGTTTGGGATATTTTTGTTAAATTTTGTACAACTAAATCTAGACTTCTACTGGACCGATTTTGTTCATTAATAGGCCATTAGAAAGCCTAACTCATGTAGATTTGCAAATAATTATAAAATTGTGATTTTATTAAATATTTGTGGTTAAAAAGTAAAAATAACAAAAATACATTAAAAACTGCTTTTTCAAGTTTCTGTTTTCAAGATTCTATTTGTAGCCAGCTTTTGGCTGCCTTTATTAAGTATTTTCAAGAAATGCATAGTAGTTATTTGTAGTAAATTTTATTCTCTTTCAGAATATCACATTCAGTTTGATCAGTATCCCCTCCATTTAAAATATATTGGCAATAAACTAAGTGATCTCCAAATTTATAGTGGTGAGAAAATACTGAATTAGATATATTTTTGTTAAACTTTGTACAACTAAATCTAGACTTCTACCGGACCGATTTTGTTACTTAATGGGTCGTTGAAAAGCCTAATTTGTGTACATTTGCAAATAATTATGAAAGTTTGATTTTATTTGATATTTGAGGTAAAAAAAATAAAAATAAAAAATAATACATTTAAAACTCCTTTTTTCCAAGTTTATATTTCCAATTTTATATTTGTAATCAACTTTAGGCTGCCTTTATTGAGTATTTTCAAGAAGTACATAGTAGTAATTTGTAGGAAATTTTATTCTCTTTTAGAATATCACCTTCCAATTTGGTCGATTTCCTCACCGTTTTAAAGTTATTTGCAAAAACGTTAAGCAACCTCCAAATATATAGTAGTGAGAAAATACTGAATTAAAGATGTTGTTATTAAGCTTTGTACAATTAAATCTATACTTCTACTGAACCAATTTTATTAATTAATAGGTCATTGGATAGCCTAATTTGTGAAGATTTGCAAATAATTATGAAAGTACTGTTGAGGTTGCAAGCAAGATCGTTTGACTATAAATCGATGATAAATAACTCCATTTTTTGAACAATTTGTGTTGGTCGTGATTTAGCTGTGTGCTTTAATGAAATGGAAGCTGGTATTTCAATGAAGGTTGTTAGGTCAAAACAAATAGAATAACGTAATTAGAATTAAGTAAATATATCTATAAAACTAAATTCCATATCCAAGATATTATCAAATTTATATTTTCTGATTGAGCGATACAGTATCTTGAACTAAACTGATTAAAACTATCAATATCTCAAGTGAAAGTCTTTGAAGTATTTTAAAACAAAGACACATAAAATAACTTAAATAAAAATAGAGTAACGTATCATTGATTGCAGATAGGTACTAAAACGATTGTAATTTATTGTTGATTCGTGATTCAGCAGTGTGCTTTAGGTAGTCCGATCTTAATAATCAATAGCTCAAATGAGAGCTGGTATTTCACTTAAGGTTTTTAGACCAAAATGTATAATGTAATTAGAGCTGCTAGAATACATTGTTAATTGAAGTGAAAAAAATTCTTTCGTCAAGTTATACATTAGATAAATTAATGATGATGCTTGATTACGAATATGTGCTTGCATAGCTTTTTTTTAAGACCAAAATTATGAAAATCGGGCGGATAGAAAGAGGAGCCCTCCTGTAAACCATCGCCCACCTGCGAAACTTTGAACTCGAAAAAAAAACAAATTTAACTCCTATAAGAAATGTACAGGGAGGCAGTTTGTGCAAAACTCAAAATGAATGCCGATGCTTGATGGCAAATATGCGGTACGTCCATGCCTTTTTAAGGCAAACATTATGAAAATCGTTCGGGTATAAGAGCTATCACTACTTGGAAAACAAAAACCATTTATTTTTATAGATAGTAATAATTGGTTTACCAGTACAGTATGCATAATCTAATCATACGAAACATATGTTAATAATTCAACAGCTTATTTTTATACAGTATTGCAATCTAATTAATTTTTCTTTGATTAAATGTTGTTAACAATTTGCATTTGTGTTTAAAGTGTGTTCCTTATGTTAATTGTGTGATTCTAATGTTATGTGCTTAAACTGTACCATTAATATTAGTGAGTAAAGTGGTGTATGGATTTCATAACTATTATTTTACTAGAGACCGTTGTACTTAACCACATCGGACACTGTTGCTAGTATCTAATCTTTTGCATATTTTCAGGTAAAACAATTTCATCCGATGCCATTGGGGATATTGAAAAAAAAGGCTCTTTCAAGATCTTTACAAATAATTTGGAAGATGATCCCTACATACTGTACAAGTTTAGAGATTCTATTGCGATCGCATCGTCTAAGAAAGGCCATATCGTTACTGTTAATAGGCGCTTGGATATAGATTCACAATTTTACGCCTTCCTCAATACACAAAAGAGCAAGGAATATTTGTCTATTGTAATCTCTTTGTCTTTCAATGAATGGTGTAGGTATGATATTTGTGTCAGTTGCAATGGCAAAGATCGGAAACCAACTGTAAACGGGGATAAGCGACCAGACGTTGCTTACTTCAAGTGGTCCAAGGTAAGTGGGTAATTTACTAATGCTAGAGATTATGTGACTTGGTTTGCACTCCGACGCAAGCTGTTGATCGCTTTAGTTTGTATCTGAAAGTATTTAGCTGCATGGGAAATGTAATTTGCTTAACAGAAAATACTCTTAGCCCAGCTACTAAGTTAAATAACTAAACTAATTATAGTTACTAGGTGAAACCCGTCGAAATCGACGGTTACTTTCAATGCTTACGCTAATTCATCTACGAAAAGTTAGGTATAGTGGAATATACTTGAAGTGAAGTTGGCTTTTATTCTTGGACTGTTAGGGACCTCCTCGTTTATATGGTTGTGTGCCTTTGTTGGCAACAAATAATGCAAATGACATGCGGCATTTCCAAAAAGCAAAAAACACTGTAAAATTGGCAGTTACGTCAATATTGACATTTACATGCATTATTAAACAACGTATCTTATGAAGGATGATGTGATCTAGTTTAAAAGGAATATGATCTTTCTGTCATGACAGTAGCTACTTTAGTATTTACACTCTATGCCTTTTTTACAGCCGAAATGTCGTGTTATAATCGTGTTAACAACCCAGTGGGCCACGGTCCGTTATATAGGCCACTGCAAATAATTTGTCAAGATAGGTACCATTTTAGGCAAGGTTTCTGTCTTTGGATGTTATTAGACACGATAAGAGCACAATAAATTTCTTCTGCAGATAAATAATCTGCTTGAGAAATAATAAGCCAAATTATAAATGTTACAATGCGAGTTCGAGCATTTTGTAACTATATGGGTAAGTTACATAGTATTTTTTAGGGTGCTGCTCAGTGCACTTTATGAATATATTTTTTAGAGATAAATTAAAAGGTTTTTGTTGCTGAGTAGCGCTAGTAAACATGCACAACCCATTTCGTTATTCTAATAACATTCATAGGCTCTCACATAGTTCTACATAAATATTTTAAAATGTTTTATCCAGTTGATGTAAATTACTATTAATTTAACAAAATATGGACTCGGCTCAAATGGGCAACATGACCTTCTGCACTTGTATTATTTTATTTTGTATGGTATTACACAATCGAAGATTTGTCCAATGATTGGAAACATGTATGACAGTAATCTCATGAACCTATGATGATCTGTCTAGAATAATATGATAAAATATAGGCAAAAGTGGTGAAAAAAGACACCAACCCGTAAAATATATATTAGATAGTTCATATGAGAAATTATTGTAAGAGTTCTGTGATAAATAGTTATTTGTGCAACTAGTGAGAAAAGTGAGCAATTGACTCACTCGAAAGAAATCCTTACTCACGAGCCGTAGGCGAGTGAGGAATGGTTTCTCGAGTGAGGCAATTGTACTTTGAACTCGAGTTGCACATTATACTTTTCCTACAGTTACCATAAAACAAATAAATTGGTGAAGAAACATAACCTATTTTTACACAGAAGTGAACTTTTAATATAACATTAAATGTGAAGTGACAAATACAACAGTACAACAGCTGACCAGCTGATTTACAGCCAGTGCTGCCAACGTATTTCGCGCGCATACGACGTTGCCTGCATGCTACGCGCTCACTATTTCGTGCCTTCACGTTGCAAATCTGGAGTGAGACAAAGTAATTAGAGTGAGACAATGTTAACATTGTCTCACTGATGAGCGAATTGGCCACTTTGCTTTCTCAAATCAGTGAGAGAACATGTACATTGTTAGGTAACTGTAGGAAAAGGAATTTCCACTGATTTCGTAATGGAAAGTTGTATTGCAAAATATGACATGATACAGAGAAAAATCAATTTTAAAATCAGAAAATAACATTGCAAATACAGTACTTCTTTTGGACATCTCAGTAACTCCCAATAAATGTGTGTTGTTTAAAACACAATTTAAAAACTAACAGCTGTTTCATTAAAAAGTATTTTCCACATGGCCAAAATGTAAACAAATCTGTCGAGGGATCTTTAAAGGCTTCTGGGGCAGAGCCCTAAGGGACTTTACTTCGTGTTTCTTTTGATAACTCATCTACAGACCAAGGCCTTTCTTTGGAGACCTATACCAAGTTTCTACGCCCAGCCGTTCTCTCAAATTAGTGGAGACAAAGTTTCCAATTAAATTTTTAGATTCTCCCATGTTAATCTTATGGGAGAAAATCTAACTTTGATGGAAGATCATCCATTGTCTCGTTGTTATTTTTCACATAACAACTTCGGCTGTAAAAAAGTAAACTGGAACCTCGTTTGTTAGTTAGGGTGGAAATATATATTTAATTTTAGATATCATACTACAAAAAATTGACTACAAACAACGATGATGTCTAACTTTAGTTGAAGTCCGTATTTTAATCCCTGGAGAATAATGTAAGCCGGAATCAAGTAAGTAATGGGAAATTTTAGAGTGGTTTATTTGTTAGTAGACGTTTATTTTCACTTGGTAAAATATATCGTTAACAGAATTTGAATATGAATAACAAAAAACACTGAACACCATACTCGAGTAAAACAACAGATAAGTATATGCCGATGCTTGATGTAAAATCTGTGCGTGCATACCTTCAATTTGAGACCTCGACCATAAAAATCGGTCGGGTAGAAGAGCGAAACGAACTCGGAAAAGAAAAATCAAATTTGTTTAATATATTAGAAGTATTGATTGTATCAGTGGAGTAGTGGGGAGATAAAATGTAGGCCTACATACATTTTAAACATTAATGAGATCACTTTATTTGTTTCAGGGTATAGATTTCGTTGGTCCTCGTTATAGAACGGGTGAGTTGTTTTATTACGGATTGGTTTTGCATTTATTAGATACATTTTAAACGTATTTGACTTCAAAGTGTCATACTGTTTCAAAACAAACACTATTTTAAGAAAATATAGCCTAACTTTTGACAAGTTAATTTTACAGTGCCTTCTACTCCTGAGCTGTAAAACTTCAACAAAATTAATTTATTTGTAATTGAACTACTAAGGTTAATTATTTTGTTAGACTCTTATTGTTACATTGTTTGAGATTAATGCAATCTTTAGTTGCCACAGAGACCACCCTTAATCGTGCAATGGATAAGAAACCATTAACAAATTCATATTTCAAATTCAAGGCCATACTACATTCCGGGAAACGGAGAACCGGCCACCTCTAGCCCTAATCCGCATATAGAAGTTTGGTTGGATTAGGTTAGGTTAGATGTTATAAATATGGCCCCTGAATTTACTATAGTACCAGTAGCCTAAACCCCGACACCCACTAATTCCATTTAGGTCAAATAAATGATTATTGGCAGGACAGTATTCAATTCAGATGTCAATTCACTTTAGAATGAAATAAGTATTTTTGTGCGTGTGCATGACTCGTTGAATTTATTAAACTGAGTTAAATTTCTATTATTTTCTCAGATTATAGGACTACTGGAATTAGCGCAGAGTATGTGAGCGTTGGAAGTCCGAAAATTGTGTTGAGCTGCTACGACCGATACCGGGAGATAAGACTGCGAACTCCAATAGGACATCAAATAGCATCAATCGATGGTATTAGTTGTTCTGAAGCATTGAAACGAACATTCACCATTATGGCGCTAAAAACAGACTTATCTGCTAGGGAGATTTTTCATCTCGGTGAAAAAGGAAAGCTTCATGATTTTTCTTGGATGTACAATAAGGAAGATTTCACAACGGTTGTGTTTACTACATTAAATTCTCCGTCAAAGAACTCTTACTGGAGGAGGGTGAGTTTTAAGTAGTTGGAAAACGTTATTAGAAGTCTAGCAATACTGTAAAACAATGACTAAATCCATAATGTATATATTTTGTGTAATTTATGTACAATTGTAACTAAGTAAACCTCCTGTCTAATGTTAAACGATTTTGGAACCAAACGCATAACGAGTTTAATGTATATACGAAGATTGTAGAGGAAATGTATGAACTTGTTTATGGCTTAGTTTAAATTATAAAATAGGCTTTAAAATGTTAAGCTCATTTTCCTTAAGTTATCCTTCAATTAACGGCTTGGCTCTAAGCTGAGGTCAGATTTGTGTGGGGGCAGAATGAAATTAGAAATCAGTAGAATAATTTTTTTTTTAATCGTTATGTTGAATAAAACTTTACAATTGCTTAGAACTAAGCATGTCAGAAATGCATTTCTGCCTCTCAAACTTATTCACAAAGGTGTTAGCCCAATAAAATGTCTGGGCGTCAGCTAGGGGGACCTGGAAATTTGGGTGGGAAAAGGTTTTTTGACTGATTCTGACTCAGTTTTTTGCGCTGATTGCGAATATGCCGAGTGGTATATAATAACCTTGACACCCTTGGACAAACACCGCCATATTTGAAAAATGGCGGCCAAAACTGGGTTTTCAATAAATACTTGAAACCGGTTAGTTTTAGAGATATTTATGTGGAGGGATAAAATATAGAGCGTCAAAATCTACACAGAAATGATTTCAACACTATTTTTTTTTACTCACGGTTTTAACAATTTAAGTTATTATTGTAATTTCGTGTCAATACCTATGACATAATAAATTCATTCTTAAAAAAAGAGTTATATTATGCAATATACATTTGTGCAAGTAACCTTTGTTAAAAATAATTGTTATTAGTCCCTTCAAAGACCGCCCACCCCCACATCACACTCGCCACTAACCAATTACACTGCGCATTCTCGTATTGCCCAAATCTGCAAGTACAGCGAGAATCTCCCGGTTTATTTTAAGCAACTATTAAAGAACTTATTGGTGTGATGAAAAAAAGAAAAATGCTGGTACAGTTACGGATTTATATTTAAGTTATGTAAATAATGAAGTTATTACATATAACTGAGAAACCATGTAAATACTGTCAAAGACTTAATTTCGTTGTAAGGAATTTCTTCTTCCGGAAGCAGCCCATTTTTTTTATTCTAGTTTGGTGGTTCAGACACTCTTTGCCATAGCATTTACAAAATATTGTGCAAAGGCAGTTTCCCAGCTTGCAGATTTTTGCATTGGAGGTTTTTTGGGACCATTATATCTATAGATGTTTACAGGGTTGCTTAGAGTGTCCTTCATACGTTTATTACTTAACTTTGGTATATCTAGATTGGCATTAGAGTTGTCGCTTGAGGTTTCAACTTGAGTTATAAGTAGAGCCATGCTGTGGGTTTGGCGTAAGCAATTCTGTGTAAATAAAGATGTATCGAAATTGTCACCTACAGCTTGTACAAGTCCATCTTTGCAGTCTCTTAAGCCTCTTAACATTGGATTTTTACTAGCTGCAGCAGCCGCTGATGCTTTAAGCCGCCGAGCCTCACTGTATACCAAATTTGTGTAGTTAATTGATCAGTTTCTTCTTATTTAGCAGTAATGATAATGCCATTTGAAGTGTGGTGTTTTGTTTAGTCAATATAGAAGTAGCAATGTTACCTATCATCAAGGAAGGTAGACCAGTGAGTTATACCAAACTCTTTTAAAAATGACAACAATGTCTTGCTCATATTAGATTCAAGATTCAAGGCTATCATAATTTAATTTGGTTTCATAGCTGTCTCTGTTAACTGTGCGTGATGCAGTTTCTATTTTCTATTTCTAGTTCATATTTCTATTTTCTTCACTACGTTTCCAAAACTACGTTCTTCATCTTCATCAGATAATGTCAGTTTCATCACAAATGGCATTTGACTTTTAAAAGCAACGATGCTAGCATTTCCAGGAGAAGATAATAAATTCTAGCTAGGTCCAACTATGCCTGTAATTTTTTTTACTATAGTTTTACGTGTTATGTTTGACACCCTGGGATTTATATAACTCAAACAGCTATATTGAGTTCCAAATGCGTGATGGGTCTTCTTTCATCATATCAATAATTGATTTCAAAATATACTAAATATATATTAATATATACGAGTAATGTCCAGTGGTCGAAGCTCGACCAAAAATATGTAATGTACTCACTTATGTTAATGTTTCACCCCGCACTGTAAATAAAACATGTGATTGGAGTTTCTTCCATTTGTTTTGATTTTCTGTTTATATTTCGTTGTTATTTCGTCACCAGCATGGCAACGCATAAGATCCATGTAAATTTTTTCAAATTTTTAAACTCATTTTTTGCGCTTATCTTGAGCCTATTTAAATTTATAAAGGGATTCTGCACACCTACAGGAAAATAGCTTTCTAACGGTATGCGTAGATTTTCCCTACGATGCACACGAGCTGAGAAAAAAGGTTTTAAAGAAACGTGCTTGCCTATTAATATATAGATATAGATAGATTTGTATATTGATGCTACAGCTGTCTCAGTAGGCCTGCACTGCGGTGTTGCCATTTTTGTCTCGCAGCATCCTTGTATTAGAGGAGGCTATGTTTGCTTAAAGCCTACACCTTTTTTAAACAAGGAAACATTAAATTATTTGCGTTAGTAATAACTGACAGTAATTTTAATCTAACGAATGTATCACGAATACTTGATCAGACCCAGTATAGATCATAAATATAAACAAATTATGTTACTGGCCAAAAAATAAACATAATTTTATATTGCTTAAATGGAACTGTCTAAACAATATGTTAATGCTATTAGTATAGGATTCGGGCCAGCAACGTAATTTGTTATGTGTATTCGATCAATACCAGTTCTGCTCAGGTATTCGTGGAATATATATAGTCTAAATCTCACGAACATTTATATAAAGTCACATACACTCAAATAAATAACTATAATAATCTAGTAAATTTTATGTTAACGAATCCTGGCAATGCTCTCTTCCTTGTCGATAAAATACCTTGCATTTCGTTTGGAATTATTTTATTAGGGAGATGAAAAACAAGGAGATTAATAAGTGAAAATATGTTTTACGTGTTACAGTACTGTACTTATATGAACAGCCTGTATAAGACCCATTTTGTGTGCAAAGCACATGACCTATAATTGTTTAATAAAATATTGGCATTTATTAAAATAATATGAATCTAGCTCAGTTTTATTACTGCCATAGGCCTACTCTTAATACCTTGTAAATAAAATTAGTTCAGGATTACATAGTAAACGATACTTAACTAAACGATCACCAGGCAACCGATGTACACATATCAAAACCGGATGCCTGATACCTTATTTATTGACAAAGGGCACAAAACAATTAAAATGCAAAATGTATCTAAATTAAATGCATTTTTTTTTAGATCCCTAACGAGACTCCTAATACCTGCCCATTTCTAAAAGGTAAGTTGGAAAGATAAATATTAAGTGTGTGTTGTTTTTAATATATGTATACAATTTTACTAGGCTGTATGTTCTTAACCTTACCATGATGAATGCGGTTTGATGGAGACAAAAATAAATATCAAATGTATAATGGTAAAATGGATATGAAGAGGTTCCAAAATGATAAGGTAACGGACTGCCCCGCCTCTCTCTGTTTAGCATGGGAAGAGGGGCCTTTCGTCGCCGACGATTTGCGAGCTATTCAGTCTGTACTGTCTTTAAATAGACAACTAGTTTTAATATGTATCAGCTGACTTATTTGTTTGTTTTGTTAGGAGTTTTTGGAATCTATATAATTAATACGCTACATGAAACTTTGTCGGTTGAACTCCTCCGCCATTTCTTAACCGATTTTATCCATTGAAGTCTCATTGGAAAGAGCGTGTCGCGTAGATTTGCAAACTGGCCTTACAGTTTTGAAAGCGTCCCTTGGGCTCTGCCCCAGTGGCTTTGAAAGTTCCCATGTTATCCTTATGGAGAACTTAATTGTTTACATTTTGATCAGCTGTAGAATTTAATTGCTGTTATTTATTTTTCAATTCAACGAAACGCATTGGGTACATTTACTGATTTTGAAGAAATTAAATATTTACTATTTCAATTTACATTCGTACATATTACAATGTTAAAAATCGAGAAAGCCTGGTCAATTTTATATGTTTTACCAAATAAGAAAAATGAATTGACAGGGTATTGTAATTCTTGAGCAATCATTGAAAGAACTGATTTGTTAACCATGGAAATATAGGAAAGTAATAGAACACCACCAAAAAAGTAGAAGAAATAGAGATTTAAGAAAATACAATCGTTATCATCCTATATAAAGAAGAACACATACAATACGAAGATTCCCACAAAAAATTAATGAACAAGGATGTGTTAGCCGAAGTGCTACTATTTTGTTGGAAACACGGACTTAACTTTATGATGATTGGCAAAGGAAACCTCTCTAAGGCCGAATTAAACTGGTACGGCAAGGACATTAAATATATGTTTTCATACAAGTCAAGTGATTTTAAAATAATATGACTACATCCAAGAAACCTTAATAAAACTTTCATTGTGAAATTCACACTATTCAGATTATTATTCACATTCAAGGGAAACAAAAAAATCATCTGAACATTAGGCCTTTCAATTCTGCATTTTTCCAGGTAAGTATAACTTACGTTATAACAGTACCTTGCCAAATTAATGCCAATTGAAGCAAATATAATTGTGACAGAGAGGTTATGCAGAAAATCAGGCATTTCTTAAGTAATGTAATCAAAATGTTATCGCTATAAAAAATGACTGAAATTTGTAAACGTACTGGCGACAATGTTACCATGCTGACTACATTATCATTGACGAAAATCAACATGGACAACCTAATGCGGCTATAAGTGGGAAACATGTGTAGAATACCCTAAAAACCAGATCAGCTTATAAAATATTTACAAGAAATGTTTATTATATGAAACTGTTAGGTACATAATCTATGAATTGTTGAGTCTTTTAAACTCATCGGAAATTATAACTTTTATTAGTTTTTAAATAACTACTTTACTCCTTTGCAATTGCTCGATTTCGAGCAACATGTACACTAGTTGGTATTAAAACAGGCTTTATGCAATGTTGGTTTTATTTTATCTTTAACTTACAATGGCGACGAGGATGGGGAAGAACGGAATTAGTTTTTACTAGGATTATATTTCAAAATTATTTACTTTCAAAACATTATTCTAACTTATAATTCTAATTCAGTGAAACACCAACCCACAATATCCATAACCTATAAACAAACTAAACTAAAAATTTCATAGTCAGCTGCATTATTTCTTTTATATACCATACTACTTTGTGTCAAAATATGAAATCTATAATTCAGACAAGAAAACAAAAACACTAATAAACAATCTTTCCGAAGACAAATTTCTATCTGAAAATGCTGTGAATGAACTCAGTGATAAAATTAACACATTAAAAGAAGAATTAACAAAACTTAGAATACAAAGGAAAAATCTAAACAAAGAAATACAAACTCTACAGGAAGAGAAAAATGACCGATTTATGAATAAAACCTCTAAAGAAACAAGCAAAAAATGTTTACCAATTGTATATAAAAATAATGATGAAGATAATTACATAAATGACATACAGTTACAGTCTTACTTTCAATGTATTTCAGATTAAATATCTGCCATTAGAAATGACATAATTTTAGTAGGACCTACAGTTACACAATTACTCATGTACTGTTCCGAATATGATAATATTATAACACAAACATCTCTACATTTCAATGAAGCTAAATATGTTTTCTTTTCTGTCAACAACTCTCCAAAAAATCAAAATAGCAATGGAAACAATGGAAGCCATTGGAGTTTATTGGTGTACAGTAAAATCTATAATACTTTTCGTCACTATGACAGTGTATATGGTTTAAATGAAAAATATGCTAAACTTTTATCAACAAATGTGAAAATGGATGCTTCCTTCAAGTCAGTTGAAACATCCCAACAAAAACCAAACTTTGAATGTGGTTTACACGTTATAGTTAATGCGAAATTAATAATAAATCAAATTGTAAACAATAAGTATGTTCATATGGAAGTAAAAAAAAAAAAAAAAAAAAACTCTTTACCCCAATCCCCAAAAAAATAACACCCACTTTGAAATCAAAGAAGTAAATGACTGTAAAAATCTTGAAGAACAGAAAATATCCTCAGGAGAAGAAAGTACATCCAGTCCAATCCTAAAAAAAAACGGATCAATTTCATAAGATTAACAAACCTATAATAAAATTAAGACCAAAATCTACAAAAGTGATAAACCAAACTTCATTCAAAAACAGATTTTCAATACTTGGATCAAATGAAGTAGAAATTACTAGCACAAATATAACAAATATTAATGAAAATACAAAAAAAGTAAATAATCTTAATAAAAACTCAACTCCTATAACCAATGAAACTGAATCACATAAAAAATCAAAAAAAGGAAAACATTTTAGTACAGTATTAAAAGATAAAACCAAATTCTTACCAGATTGTCAAGCTAAAATTAATAATAACGTACCAAACAACAATGAAGACGAAACGGAAAATCATGTTGATGTACTGAATTCTTCTACTAGTATGATAAAAAACAAAAAGATTGAAAACATTGAAAATAACCATACTCGCAAAGAGAAAACGAAATTGAATTCTATCTCATTAATAAAAAATACCCCCGCCGCAGCTAACCTGCTGTCTAAGCGAATTTCCATTTGGCTGAATTGCTTTTCAATTGATCTATTTAAATAAAATTAGGTTTAACGAGTACCTAGGTTTGCTGCTACAAGGAAACTAATAAAGTGTGTGTTTTAAGTAAAATAATTATTGCTTAGTATAAAATGAATATATTTGCCAAGTTTGATCAAAAGATATCCATAAACAAGCAAACTACAACATTTTACAATATTCTCCATAAGAATAACATGGGGATTTTAAATTTACAATTTTTTTAGTTTTCTCCGTAACCAATAACCGTGCAAAAACACTTTGACATACTGAATTGTTTGTTTTTTTAAGCTCTTTAAGAAGAATTAGAGGAAAATTGGGAAATTTTGTGTTTTGAGGGTCAAAAGTGAGAAAAACCAATTTTTACCCCATAAAACCCCCCATAAAACCCTGTTCCCATGGTCCGATCATGCTGGATCGCGAACTCATTCAAGTTTATCCCGCCTTACACCTTCAAACCAAATTTCATCAAAATCGGATAAAAATTACTCAAGTTATCGTGTTCACGGACACATATATATATATATAAATCTATATATATATATATATATACATATATAAAAATTTGAACGAATGGTGTTTTTGGCCTCTGGGGACATCAAAATGAAAAAGTAAATCGGTCCCGGGCCTAAGTCTTACCATGAGACCTACGGTAATAGCTACTTCCCTATAGGGAAATTCGCTAATAAAATACGAATTTTATCAGACAGTCATGGAAGAAGCATAAGAAACTTGCTAAACAAACATATTAAACATGACGAATCATTTGAAGTTTATAGTTCTGTAACACTAAATAATGGAAAAATGGTCCAAATTTTAAGTAATGAAAATAGTTTTGACTATAATAAAAATAGTATAGATAAAAATGATTTTATAATAATTATGTGTGGAACAAATGACATTTGCTTAGAATTAAATATTGATGAATTTTTCAAAAACATTTAAGAAAGAATAAGAAGATTATCTTACACAAATGTTTGTATTATTGGCCTACCTTGGAGATACGATTCCCCAATGCTGAACAAAAAAATATCAACAATAAATGAAACGCTATATGAATTGACTATTTTACATGAACATACAAATTTCATAAGTTGTTCACATATCTCACGCTCCTTTTACGCAAACCACGGACTCCACTTCAATAGAAAGGGTAAATTAGAGCTTACCAAATTAATAACCAATTATATCTATAACAATAAATTTGAATCAGTTATCAAACAAATTCCTGTTAGAAAAACCGAAAGAAATTATTTTTTTGAGAAATGTCAAAACAAAAGACACATAGTTTAACAAATATCAGCATTAAAAACCAAGTTGTACAGACAAATTCTAGTAATCTTAAAGTTATGCATCAAAATATTAATGGTTTATTAGGAAAAAACTCATTCTCACTGAGCATCACTTAAAAGAAAATGAGATAACTGTATTGTTATTAAATGGATATATCTATGCATCATCGTATTGCCGAGATAACGTACAAAAAGGCGGAGTATGTATATTTGTTAAAGAAACCATCAAATTTATAGAACTAAATGTTAAATGTTACAGCATTGAAACTGAATGTGAACTCACAGCAATTAAAATACTAAATGCACAAAATGCCTTAACAATAATTGGTGTTTATAGACCTCCAACCAACAACTTTGATATATTTTTTAGACAATTTGTAAACTGTTTACAAGACATAAATAA